TTTTAAGTAATTTTGCATAAGCAAACATTAAAGCTAATATAGAATAGCATTAATAGTGTTATCGTTTGGCTAAGTAATAAATTAAATAATTGAGTGAAATTTGACCGGGAAAGAAAAAGAGAGTAAACCCATAAAATACATAAAATTAATTAACTTCAATAACGGCACTTACTTTTGCGGACTCTAACCGTCTGTCCGTCCTTGAGGACGATGTCTCGATACCGAATGGACCGATTACGATGAAATTTTGTAGGTGGATTCGTTATCGAATTTGTAGATCGGAGTTAGTGAATTGGCAAAGTAGGGCAAAAAATAAAGAAGGCTCTGTTGACATCTGCGTTATTTATGAACCGAATTTCATGAAATTCGATATGGGCATAGAATAGCTACAGTGACTTTATAGAGACAGTGGCGACAATAGGAGCCCATCCGCCATGTTGCATCAAAAATTCAAATTGGAAAGTAGGCAACACACAATACACGTATGACGTGAAACACAAATGTTTGATCGTCTGCCATTTGACTGAAGAAGTCGCCAATGTCAGGCTGTCATCTGTCAAGATACTATTTTTTATAGGAATATCATGGCACCTGTACTTCAAATTTGTCAGTCAGTGACGCCTTTAGAAGCGGGGGAATGCACGTGAGAGCGGAAACAGCTTAGTGAAACTTGATGCAACATGGCCGCCGATCTCAACGACCAATCAAAAATTAGACACTCTATTGTCGCCACTTTCTGTATAAAGTCGTTGACGCCTCCTTTGTACGTATGTATGCCAAAGGAATGAGTAACAAAATTTTAAAAAAATTTAAAAAAAAGTCACTGTAGAGCTAGCCATACAATACGTAATTCCAAAAGTTGAGTCAAATCTATTTAACATTAGCAGTGCCCTTTTCGCATCGTGATCATTTACGAACCGAATTGCAAGCCTTTTTATTTATCAAGGTAATATGTAAATGCAATTTGATACTTAGGCACTTGGAATAAAAGCAAACGTAACGCTAGTTTCAAAATTTGGTTTTGCGCATGCGCAGTGCCACCTTTATGATTTAGTGTAGTATTATTGATTATTGATGATTCCTGTATCATATTTCTTCAGAACTTGTAAAACTTTAAGGTTTTAATTTTAGGTAGATATTTAAAATACGTTTCAGAATTTGTACAAATTTTTGAGTTTAATTTTATAGCTAGATAACAAAATTAGTTAAAATCTCTTAAATAAAATTTCGAGATTTTAATTCTAGGAAAATATTTGAAATAGGTTTCAGACGTTGACACGGATTCCTTACAAAACCTTTTGCGAATATTCGGATCAAATCTTTTTGCGCCGTGTACACGACAGTGCAATCGCGTTTAAAACTATACAGGGTGTTCCTAAATACGATGTAAATACAGAAGGAGCTAATTTCTTGACTTATTTCATCAGTAAAAGTTCATGTAAACATAGGTCCCCAAACGCTTCGTTACCGGTCTACAGGATGTCAAAATTTCAAGATTGTTTAAGTTTTTCTGTATATCTCCTGCAGTTTTTAGTTTTATCCTTCATGGTACTCTAATGAAAGGTCTCAACGAAAGGAATTAATTTCCACCAACCATAGCACTCCTCCTCGACCTCTTATCGTGATCGGGTATATTCCCTTATACCTCAAGAACGGATTGTCGGAAGAGGGTACTCACAAAGGGCAATTGAGACCATTGGTGATGTCAAAACAAAAGCTATTTCGGTTAAAAAAAATACGCTTTATCTGCAGGGTTGTGCACAATTTATACTTGTTTTTTAATATCTTGATTTATTAGCTTTGACAGTTGGCATTGAAAATTGTAGCTTGTGTTTGCACATGTTTATAAATTAAAGGTTCAAATTGTAAAGTGTAGGAAGAAGGGGGTTGGTTGTTACAAAATTTAGTCAAACGCTACTATTTCCGGTACGCAATGCAAATATATTTTTCTGGTATAAGGAAACTGTAACAAGCAATTCCTCATTGGGGTTGATTGTTACAATGTGTCAAAAATTAGTTCCATCTATCTCCACTATTCTAAATATATACCCAATGCCACTAAGTACATATAATAGGTACAATTATTAGGACTAACAAAGTTTCCACGCCACTGGTCAGTCACTATTCGACGAGTCACGAGGCAAACTTATAACGGCCTAACTGTACCTTAAACTATGGGGGGTTGCCACAGGGTTAAAGTTGCAAGAATTATTTTTGCACAAAGGTTGACTTGATATAAAAACCGATCAGTTTCTGGATTTTAGGGAGTAGAAGTTTTCGTTGCGCCACCGTGTATATTTTTATGCTTTATATCAAAACGTCTGAAATTTATCCCTCTATTTTGAAAGGTTATTGAAAGATATGGCGTTCGGCTTTCCATTTAAAATGACCGCTAGTATCCAGAGTGCTTCCTATGTAAAAATCGCTTGGGTGGAAGGATACTTTACGCATACCAAATGACATGTTGGTATCCGTTAAATGCACGATTGTGCATATTTCAGGCGCAAATCCTCCTGAATAATAAATTTAGTAAGGCAGGTAGGTAAAAACGCAATATTTATTTAGCTTTCGTAGGTACTTTTTACTGTATCACATTTGATAGTTCTTATACTCTGCTTGGAAAAAATCAATTTGAGGGAAAATTGCGTACGCCGTATGTGGAGAAGGTGCAGAAACATTGAACAAAGTTTGTTTACAGAGGAATAATTCAGTATAGTAACTTAGAAAATTTGCCGTAGAAGGAAATACTTTTGTATTAATATACAGAGTAGCCAAACTAAAATAAGTAGTTCTGGAACTAGGACAGAAAACCAACTTTAGGTAACCAACGTTTTATATTCTTACAGAAACATTTCCTTTCCATTTAATGAACTTCGTTAAATCTATGTGGTTACTTATACTTCATATTCCGTAAACGAATATGAATCGCATATCAATTTGGATAAGGGATAGATAAGGTGTAGACGAGACTTCAAGTGCCAATGTTTTGAGAACGGTTTCGTAACAGAGCACCCACAAAAGGAAGGTCGAAGGTCTAGGCGAGACGTGGGGTCAAAACTTTTTTGAAGTATGTAACGGACAGGTTAGTTCTATTATAGCAGTCCCGGCGAACTCCGTACTGCTTTTGGGAAATCCCACATTTTCTCGTACTCCGTCTCCCTCTTTCTCCGTTCCCGTGGGAACATCGGAAAGCCTTTTTCGGGGTACACCTTAACGCTTTCAAAGAAACCGACGTTCTAAATGTCTCTTTTCGACTGTAAATCATAAAATCCTGTTCTTTCTGTTCCCGTTCCCGTAAGAAATTCGGAGTGTTTTACTATGTATATTAAAAACCTTCGCACGCATACGTAATTGATACGTTTGCCAGTCTATTTTTTCATCTCTCGCCTGAAGTCAACCGTGTGGATTATTCTAGAGCCGTAATAGATCTCTCATTGGTGCCATCTATTAGTTATATCGCCATTTAAAATGACGGAAGAGAAAAATTGACGTCATTCATAGTAATGGCACGGAAAAGAGGAAAAATTGTTCTTGTACGTCTTTCCGTACAATTTTTGGAAATTATCTTTTATACAAAAAAATTCCACTATTGCTCGTATGTCTCGTAATAGCGTCTAAGCAGTGAATTATCCCTTGTAAACGAAAGTCAGCAAATAGCTTTAAATCACAATTTAAAAAATTTTACACGTTTGGTTTGGACTCGATTATTAGATCGCTTAATTTCCAGGTTACCGGCTTAACTACATTAACGGCTAGACGCAAATTTCGTAAACATCCACCCTATGATAGTTCACAGGTGATCAGCGTAACTTCCCTGACAGTTCACCGCGAATACACAACTGAAATATATCCCGCGCCAAATTACAAGTGACCGACTTAACTGCACTGACGGTTCAACGCAAACGCTCTAAGGCTAAGGAATTCTCTCGTGGTTCTCCTCGAAAGACGAACTTCTCATTGCTGCAAAATAAACAAAATGCCCCTGTAATATGAACCGAAGGCGTGAATCTCACGACTGTATTGCAGAAGCACTCGCTCCCATTCAGAATAAAAAAAAGGTGCTTGTTCTTGTAAATGTTACTAGTGCAGTACTGCCTATAGATGATTGTAGTTAGAAAACCACTAAGGGGGGTATTGGAAACATTGTAGAAGTTGGTCGAAGGCAGTAAATAAGAGCAGTATATAATTTGCTAGTAATTCATTCTTAGAAAATTGCACATAACGAAACGATCAAAAACTTCGTCTCTAAATTAATAATTATAGAAGCTCATAAGGTTTAATTCCAATATGATTTATAGCATTTTGTATGAATATGAGAGAAAGGTCTAAAAATAAATTCTCTTTAATTATGCTTCTCGTTCTGAGCTTTACTGCTAATGGTATTTCTTAATAAATTATTCCGTAAAACTTCCTGTACGTGCTAATGACATTTATTGTGTACAAAACTGGCGGATATGAGCAATATTCGGCAAAACGGAAATGGTTGCGTGTTACATCAGAAATCATTATTTAGGTATTGCATAATGAAGGAGTACTCACAACCTTCACATCCACTTTTCAGATTTACTCACATTATTGAAGACCATCGTATGTGTTATTGTCTTCTCTGTTCCGCGTTATCTTCTCCTCTTTTACGTCACTGCGAGTATTCACATACTGCTGATCTAATCGTCGCTTTTGATGAAGGATATCGAGATTTAGTTCCCAAAGACACTGTTCGGAAATCGTTTTCCTTTTGGACAATCTAAAGCTCTTTCAAAAATCATTTTTAGTCAATTTTAACAAAAGTTGTGGTGTAGATCATCTCCTAACAGCAAGTTGTGAATAATATTTTATGGTGTGAAGATACTCTTCCCATACATTAACACAGGGCTCAACTCAACTCTAGTGAGATTGGTCGAACGGTTTTCGAGTCTTCTGCAATTCGAGTATGCACGTCCCATTATTAACCACAAACAAAATATTTTATTCTCAATATTAACAATGATTTTATTTTATAGAACCGTCTCCATTATACGATAACAATCACTACCACGAGGAATGTCTCCGCTGCAACTCCTGTGGGCTCAACCTGACGGGCCCGAACCAGAAGCGAGCACGACGCTTCAAGAACCAAATCTTGTGCGATTTACATTTCGCTGACGTGGCCCTTATGGAGTGTTCGGATTTTATGCAACAATTACGCTCGTTTAAACCACAGTCATTGGGGTGCGCGGTTGCACGAAGGAAATCATCAACTACCCTCATCTTCCCGCTACCACCACAAGCTTGTTCAGGTAAGTTTCTATTATAAAGTGTTGATTGCACTGGAACTTGGTATTAATCGTTTTCCGTACTTCTACCACACTTATTTTTGCGAAGAAAACATAAACCAGAAACCATGTTTTATTTCAGCTCGCGTATACTATAAGATATGCGACAAGTCAAGTAAAAAGGTTTTGAGTCTACATTGAAATACTTCACGCTCGCACGGTCGCTAGTAATCGCGAACTGGCACTGATTAGTAGGTATGGGATCACTTGAGCGTGGGAAAATTTTTTCGACCTTGAGAAAATATTAGCCCGGGACCTATTTTGGCAGTTTGTCCGAAACAGGTATTTCGACAGTTATACTGGGGTGCTATATTTCGGTGTGCAAGGTCAAATTTTGGCAGTTGGCCATAATTAATATTGAAACAAACATTTAGGGGTTGGATTATTACACTCGCACCATATTGAAATTTAAAAAAATTCTTTTAATCAGAGTTAGTGAGAATGGCGCCAACAGTCCAATCGCAAATGAAGGGATTGGCCAGCTTGCTCAATTTATTCCCCGATTTATTCGAAACAAGCAAGTAGCCCCAATCCAAACAAAATGACTCTCTTTAATCCAGTATGCATCACACTCATTTAATGGGATGCTATACCTTGATCTCATACCTCAAAATCATCATCACTTTAATAAGTAAAGTTTGAACGGTGAGGGAATTTTTGGACATTAAACGACGAGAAAACTAGGTGGACTTTAAACGGCGACCAATTCGTGAACTTTGAACCACGACCGACCTTTGGACTTTGAACGGTGAGGAATGAACTTTGAACGGTGGTTGTAGTTTCAGTATCGTCATTGATATGACCTTTGAAGTTGTAACTGTGTGCGCCATCTTACCGCGCACAACGCGATTGTAGACCAGTAAGTCTTGCCGCAGCGATGGTAAATATACAACGAAAACGCGGAGTGTGTTTTGTGGTATGCTGAGTGTGTGTGTAAAGACGGTTCCTTCACCAATTACCGATAACGCAGATCCAAGGTGGCGGGTCCAAAACAGCATCAAGATGGCAGAGCAACTACCGAAATACCCCAGGCCAACTGTCGAAATACCCTTTGGGGTACAAACTACCGAAATATGACTCCGCACCGCACCCCGAACTAACTGCCGAAATATCGCACCCCGGGTCAACTGCCTAGATATGATGTCGCCCCCAGACCATTTCCCAAAATCTGATCTCGCAGCCCACCAACTACCAAAATTTGATCTTGCATTCCGAGCCAACTGCCAAAATTTCACCTTGCAGCCTTGCACCACGGGCCACCTGCCAAAATTTGACTTTGCACTCCGGGTTAACTACTGAAATATTACACCCGAGCCAACTGCCGAAATAAGATCTCGCATCCTGGATCAACTGCCAAAATTTGACCTTGCACCGAAGGTCAACTACAGAAATACTGCACCCCGGGCCAACTGGAGAAAATCTTTTCAAGATCCAAAAAAATGTTCCCTGCTCAAAAAAAAAAAATGCTACGATTTCACCAATAATACCTGACGTTAAATCTCCGAAAATACTTCTCTGTCTCATCCCTACTTCCTCAATTTTTACAACCACACCTTCAAAATCGTGCCTAAATGGTTTCAGTGGTCATCTTATAAGATTCATCCCCCTTTACAAATACCACATTTTAAAAAGCTATTAAACAGAAACATCTACAGTTTAAAAATCATGAGTAGACAGTCCCCAGTCTGCGATACGAAACGGATCAAAAGCATAAGAAATTGATACCTACAACCCATTAACTCCACTTAATCTCCCACTAGACTGGCGCTATCAGCTTTCTCACAGAATTAATCGGCTAGTGACGCACCTTAAAACAGAACATAGATCGGCCAATTTATTGAGAAACCATTGACTTAAAAAATAATAAATCAACAACATTTTAAAGTAACCAGCCTTTAAAATCGCACAACCTCAAGTCTGTGTTGAACCCAAGTCGACAGTTCCCGTAGTAACAAAAAGCGGGAAAAAAAACACGATCTCGGTACATCAGCTTAGGAATACAAACTTCGCACTCAACAAGGGTCGGATCACCTACGTTGTGAAAGACCAGGTCGCGCTTACTCATACTCCAGCTTATTATAGGAAAGGTGGAATGCAAATAACACCATTATTGAATTTGAAAAGCAACAGAAAGTTTCTTGAATAATCTATCAAAAGTGTAAATTGAAACAAAATGCCGCAATAGTTCGTACAAATTTAGACAGAATGCATTTAAAATCAAAGAAATGCCGTGATCCCCTAGAACTCATCGGACAAAAGAACCGATCCGAAAAAATTCTTAATCATGGTTCAAAAATATAATATATAGGTTGAAAACGCTAACATGTACCATGTACTAAAATTAACCATCTGAGGGAGTAACTCTTGCATTTGAATAATTTAAATCTAACGTTAATTTCATACAACATTTGATAAGACAAAGAATCAATAGATTACAAAGCAACTCCACTCCTTTCCCATTTGTGAAAAATAACATTCAGAAGCCTTTTACATAAAGTACATGAAATAAATTATTAAATAGCCTGAACTCCAATCCAGAAGGTATCTGAAGGTCCTGGATACGGTAACCGTAGACTAAAGTTGTATTTCTAGATGAATGCCACTATTTAACTTTAACACTAGACATAACATTAAGACACAACGAATTGAAGTCGCGAATCAATCTAGATGAGGTTAAACAACGAGTGAACAATAACAACTGGCCAATCTAAAGAAAATTAAGAAAAGCAATAACAAACAAGTAAATAACGAAATAATTCAAGGGTTACCTACCCTTCAGTTATAAGTAGATGAAGGCAATACAATTTACAATAAAGCGAAGAATTACAGCTAGGCACATTACCTTTTGTTATATGTAGCACAAACTAAAGTACACAAAAGTGAACTATTATAAAAAATTAAAACAAATTTCAACTGCTCTACGTGAACGGAAAAACAAAGTGACGCTACATTTTCCATGAACCTGTGTGAACTGAGCAAAATGCAAAATCAGCATAGCTAAATCAAGAGACTATTTCTTTACAAACCAACATTGCTTAAAATTGCTGATATAAAAATTGTGACACCATTGCATTTTAAAGGCGAATGTATCTCCAGCGTACTTTTTGTTTGAAATTTTTAAATCAGGCATCTCGAGTCTCTGATTCTTGTGCAATGAGGTTTTCGCGCAATGTATGGCGATGCAACTATGACTCCTGAGTCCTGACATGATTAAGCGGACTTGGACGGAGGTCGTTTACCGCTTAAATATACTCAGTCTATATAGTATACTCAAAATCATAACATGTGGAAGTCTGGGGTGCCTTTGCAGAAATGCTTGTGTTCCACGTTGAAGAGTACAAAGTGCTGTGGGGTTGAGGCACAACCTTATGTTCCAGTTTCATAATACACATAATGGCTCAACATTGAGATTCTGTAGGTTTCAACGAGCGTCGATTCAGGTTTAACAAAGTTTTATGAAATGAACAAATGAGCAGCACAAACGCATTGCAGTTTTAACTTTCAGCCATTTTTAAATATGCCAAAAAGCACTTTCAAAAGGTAACGGGCGCAAAAAGTTTAATATTTGCAAGCAAACCGAGAAAATAGCACTTGAAAATATACTCCTTACATTTGCGGAGCTTTGGAAAATTTTCATCCTCGTCTGCGAAAATTACTGATAGGGCACGTTTCTGGAGCGCCGAGTGCGATAATGATGTTTAATTTTAAAATTAATAAAACACACACAAGCGGAGGGGTTGAAATTTGTTACGGTTCGCGTTGAAACAAAAATCGATGAGTTCAATGATTTATCTGCAGCATTTATTACTGCTTTGCCCAATTAAGCCTTAAAAAGTTAATGCGCGCTACCTCCAAAATTTCAACAGGATTTTCCGTCTGCAAACGAAAATTAATTTTTTCCCACTTGGCAGGTTATTGCGATTCGCTCGACGAGCCCTGAATAGCAAAACGATTTTTGATTAAACGTGGTCGTATTAAACATTATTAATGCATACATTTCCGAACAATCTGGTAAGTTAAAGAAATTTATTACAAGCACGCTAGTCTGGATTACCTTTGTTGACAAACAGAAAGGGTAGGTACTGGGGATGTCTAGTAATAGTAATAAAGTAGTGGCGGTCATTAAAATTGATTGTTATCGAGGTCTAGTTGAAAAATATTTTTTCTATTTCGGTGTCACAATGATTTTTCGGCCGAAAACAGTTGTACAAAGACAGTGATTATAGTTTTTTTTTTGGTAACTCATCTCTTACGTTGGCAGTTACTAGTTAGTACAAGTAGGTACTTCGTTGGGTACTTCCATGTTTGAACTTCAAAATGTCAGTCTTACTACGCTGCCAACCTAAAACTTAACGGCATAAAAAGTGTTCCCAACATAAAACATGTTAGTTCTAATGTTCCCTATAGTTTCTGATAATGATTTTTTTAATTAAATTAAAGCACCGAAATAGAAAAAATAGTATGAAAAACACGTGTTACAATGCTTTATTGTAATACTTCTATCTTGCGGACACTCGTGGCTACGCTTCGCGCCGCCACTCGTGCCACAAGATAGTCGTATTACAATAGGTCGCATTGTAACACTTGTCTTTCAATATACTATTGGTAACTTCTCCACTCCATATCCTTATTCTTTACATTAAAGGTTAATGACGGTTGAATTAAGTACTTACATTTTTCAACAGAACATTTTCACTTTACTTTTCGTTTACAATAATTAAATTAATGATGTTTATAACAATTCAAATTGTTTTTTGTTCTACTTCCATACTCACAAGTCACAATGAACCCTGCAGTCAACAAATATCTCTCAGACGAGTATTGTATTAACATTCCTGTTTTACAGTTTATTTACGCCAAATTAGCGGTATAGAATTTCTGATGAACACAAATGGTAAACACGAGGGTAAGCAAGCAAGATTCTGGAGAACAACAAAAGTTTACCATTTGACTCAATTGAGGACGTTTTCCAACTCCCACATTATTAAAATTTGTCACTTTTCAGTTTCATATCATATTAACTTTGCAATAATTATGTTCAATTTTTAATAATCACACTCATAATGCATCATTACATTGGTAAACTTTAATGGAAATAAGTTCGCAATCTGAGGACGATAAATAAATTCATTTAAAAATTTAAAGAACCTCTACCAAAATTCACATCACTGTAATAGTTTGCGGTTTTTTAACTGGCAACAATTACCAAAATTGTTGATTTCTCTTAGTCCATATTATTTGAAAACGTCATAGAAATCCAGAGATCCCTGCGTGGTGAATAAATTACCCTAGGACAAGGTCAGCGTTCTTTGGTAACTGCATATCATTTTCTAGACATGGACTAACCCCAATAGTGTTGACCATGGAAAAAATACGGCTCATTTAAAGTTAAATAAGTTGTCGTTTAGTCATACAGAGCGCTCAATATTTCCCCAGATCAAACTTAGGGTTTACAAGTTCGTATTGGTGATGTTGGTAAGAGTATAATTAAATGCGTGATGTTTTAGAACCCGTACTGCAATTTTATGTTCACTGTTATTTTTTATGTTTTAATTCGGCGCCTTACGAATATTGGTTTGTCGCTTCAAATCACCTCAACTTTCTTTTATTATATCGTTGCAAAGGTAACCGCATAATTGAATATTAACAACGCGCTCTCACAGTCGAAACCCGTCTTTTTCTTTTTACGCTTCGCTATTTATATTAACACAAAAACGAAACCAACGGAATTTCTGTGACCGGCGTCCCCTTTAAACCAGTAGTAGTTGTTTACACTGCATTTTTTGTCTCGGCCCAAATGTAACCACCGAAACGGTAAAGTTCGCTGCTACCTTGGTAGCAACCCAAACGTTCTAGATGCGCGCATTTACCGTTAACTAGCACAACCGGCGAACTTTATACCGATTTATTTATATGGAAACCTTCGCGGGCATATGTCCAACCATTCTGCAAAGTTACATCCCAATCGAATAAACGGTTTAGGCAGACATAAGGAGCATACATTCTTTTCCATTTATACAGGCTGATTCAAATTCGGGAACTGTAAGAGATAGGTAGGTATATAGTGTAAATTTGGCAAAGTTACATATTTTGAAGCTTAACAATATGCAGTTTTGAAACTGAAAAAATTCCGACTAAACGTGAAACCTGTTTCGCAATATCTCTCACTGTTTTCGAATAATAAATTTTTAAAATTACCCCTGAAAATTCAATTTTTGACATAAAAACTTATCGACGAAGCCCTTGGAGCAAAAGGTCAACTATCGTTGTACTCCAAATTCGACGTAAAATCCGAAAATGTAGAAAAAATAGGGGGTCCCTATTTAAAATAACAAAGTTTGTTGATGGCAACTTCCGGTATTTGCGGAAGTGGTGCCATTTTGAAAAGATTTTAGTTTAATTCATCATGTGCCAAAACCCTTAAAGGTGTGTCATTTTCAAAGGTTCTCCATATCTTTCTAACTGACACTCGTCAAGATTGACCCTGTATAGATAAGTTGACCTAAAAGCCTACTATTTGTAGGAAACGACGTACATGCAATTTTACTTATACAGTGCGTTCGAGAGGAAAGGGTCACATACAAGAGATGCGAAAATTTTTTAATTTATATGTTACATTACCTATCTATCCGATCGCATATTGAAACTTTAAGTTTCACTCCCGGTTTAACCGGAAATCAAGGCAACTTTTAATTTTCAAACGCAATGCGTTTGTTTTTTACAGATATTTGAAAAGAGCAATTGGTCTGCTATGAAAAAATAAAATACGCATAGGGTGGATATACAAAAAAATGGAGACATTCGTGATTCAATATTTAGAAAATTGGCATCAAGCATGCCGTGTGGTGACAGGATGCGCGATGTCTGTTGTGTTACATGGGTAGGTCGTATCGCGCATAAGTAAATCTTCCAAATGGCATAGTGAACAAATTGGGTGTAGTTGGTGTAGGTTTTTCTGTGTGAAATGACACACGGAATGCTAGATTTCCTAAATATTAAATCACAAATTTCTCCATTTTTTTAATTTGTTTGATTGCTCTTTTCAAATATTTTAAAAATACATAAGCAATTGCATTTGAAAAACAAAAGTTGCATCAATTTTCACATATAAAATTATATTTGACAATATTTAAAATATTTAAATAAAAGAGCTATTGAAATGGCCCTCTTATCTCGAATGCACTGTAGAGTGTAGGTATATAAAATTTGAAAAAAAATTAAACTGCAAAGCGAGGTTCCCGTTACATAACGGAATTTGGATTGGCCGAACCCGCAAAAAAATAGCAACCCGTATATCGTGGGCACGTTACAGTTCTAACTTTACGCTCATATAAATTTTGTATGCATAACTTTTATACAAATCATATACTGTATAGATAAATTTGAATTCATCTAAAGGAATATTATCACTTAACTGAAATATAAGTTTCCAACTAATGGAAAAGAACCATTCCTTTGTATGGATCCACTTATAATGATTAGATGCATTACAAATCTGTGTCATGCAACTAATTTCCACAGATCGGTTCCTTTAAGGATATTATGATTACGTTAAATAAACATCCGCTTCAAATTCTTAAAGATAACCGACCAATGCTTTATACAATTTCAGAAAAATTGAGAGTAACTGATAGATATCGCAGAAAATCGATGTTTAAAGATGGTATGGTCCTCCCTTGAAAAAATGCTCCCACCAAGAGAAATTGAAAAC